CATCCTCAGGCCGCACTCACCCCCACATCCAATCAGTGGCCGAGTCTGGGCCTGTGACTTAACCCTTCCATCCATCCTCGCTGCTGCCACCTAAGCCCCAGTCCTGTCAGTGGCAGCATCAACTACCCAGTGACTGCCTCCACACTGGCCCTCACAATCCCTCCTCCACGTAGTGGCCAGAGTGACCCTCACTCGACAAGGCTCCATTGAGTCAGGTCTCTCCCCTGCTTAAGGCCCTCAAAAACGTCCCTTCCCTTTGGGTTGAAGTCTGAATTCCTCACTGAGGTTCCCAGGCCACTTTCTCCAGACTGCAGGCTGGTGGGGCCCCTCAGTTCCTCTGCTGGCCTCTTGCTTCTCCTGACCTTCCCACACACTGAGCCTCCTGCCAAGACACTCTCCCTTTCCCCTCCGTGTGAGCTGGCTCCTCACTTCTTCCAGAAGGCCTTCTCTGGCCCCACAGATGACAGCACTCTGTTCCCTTTCTGTCCACGGGCTGCCCCTGTAAATGCCTGCTTTTCCTCCCCTGCCCCTGATGGTACTCTCTCTGCTCCTTCCCCAGGACCATAGTGCCTGTGGTCTCAACCAAGGTTTGCTAATTAAATGACCTGGTCAGAGCTGATGCTCGGGGACAGGAGGGGGTGGGCTGATCTGATCTTTCCTGGACCCCCTCATCAGGGATCAGGACAGTTCCATACACCATCATCATCACAATGACTATCCTTTATCATGCACTTACTAAGTATCACCTACATATCCACAGGAGTTTAAAACATCATTATCCCCATTTTACAGATGAAGAAACTGAGACTCAGACAGTGACCTGCCAAGTGACCCAGCCAGTCAGAAGCAGCGCCAGCAGGCCCACGCTGTGAACAACCACTTGCTCACCTGCACCCCTCGCTGCTGCAGATGTTGGATCAGACTCTTCCTCATGATGAGCCTGGAGGGGAGCAGGGTCACAGAGGTCATGATGAGAGGGGAAGGGCGGTGACGGGTCTCTGTGGGGCCACCCCACCCAGCCTTCTTGCCCACCTCACCATTTGGCAACCACAGCCGCCAGCTGATTCAGCCTTGAGCTGGAAAACGGGAAGTAGGTCCTGTGGAGAGGTGGTGGTGTGGTCAGCCCCTGGGGTCTCTCTCTGTCACGGGGGTGGAGTGGGGTGGGGTGGTAGTGACCCTTCGAGCAGTCTCACCCCACTCCTTCTGAAAGAACCTCTGGTTGCGCAGAGGAGTAAGTCACCCACTGCTCACTGATCCTGACTCCATGCTTTGAGGGTATGCCTCCGCCCTCACTGTTTTACAGAAGAATGGAGACTTAAGAGAACGACAGTGACTTGCCTGACGTCATACAGCCCATCCATGGTGGGGCTGGGGCCACGACCCAGCAAGATTCCCAAACTGGATAGGCAGTCTGAAGTTCCTCATGGTTAGACCTGACCAATTGCAAGGCCAGACAGCACTTCACAGGTCAGCTGTTGGTCCCTAATTGCCCCACTCTAGGGGTGACTTTAGAGGCTGTTACAGTGCTCTGGAGCAGGGTCTGTGTGCTGTGTGACCTTGGGCAAATGACAGAACCTCTCTGGGCCTCAGATTCTCGATGGGTCCTGTGGGGGTCATGATTCCTGTATCTCCTGGGAGTGGTACGAGGTAAGGGTCAAATAAACTAAATGATGTGAAAACACCTTACAAACCTTGGTGATATACACCAAGTTCTGCAGTAAAATGATCTCTGTGGGAAGGGGGGGGGTGGGGGACGGGGCGTTGGCTGGGAGCTTCCCTCCAGACAACAGGAGCGTAGAAAGCACTGGGACAGCTACAGAGAGGGCAAAGGAAGGGTCCCAGAGGGAGAGCTGGCAAAGTATCCAAATTCCTGCTACTTTACTCAGCTGTTACTTTGTTAATCCTTGTCTCTAGGCAGGAAAATGCCTTTCTGTTTGAGAATCAGAGAGTGATGCTATAATTAATAACTGTCTCCCCAAGCAGACCGTAAGCTCCTGGAGGGCCCTACCCCACTCACATTGGTCTTATTTACTAGTGAAAGTGCATGTGAAACAGAGGAGGCATTCAAGATATATTTGTTGGATGACTGGATGAATAAATGCACCCTTGTCCTAAAACTCCATCCACATTATCACACATTTACATAGAAGTTTTTTGGGGGGGTTGGTATTCATGAATGCTTGGTGAGAACCATTATCTTCAAAAGCCCCTATGGGTGATCTTTGAGGGTAGTCAGGGAGCTGGGGACATTGGGATCTCCTGCTCTACATGGGATCCTGCACAATCGAGTTTGAGGTGGGGGGTATTTCTCTTTTTTTGAAACTTTTTTATATCACAGTAGAGTTGATTAGCAATGTGTTAATTTCGGGTTTCTGGGGCCAGAAGCCTGGGGGAGGATTTGGAAGATAGATGGAGACCTAGTAGGTACCTGTTGATGATGGTAGGCAGAAAGCAGATGAGGAACTTCTCGGGGATGGAGATGAAGGGCAGCAACCCCAGGTAATAGAAGAGCAGCATCCAGAACCCTCGGCTCAGTGTGAAGGAGGTGGGCATCTCAGGGTTCTAGGAGGCAAGGGGGAGTAAGGGGGATCAATCTGCTCCGGGGGGAGTGGAGAGGAGGCTTGGGCTGCAGGGGAACAATTTTTGACATTCAGGAAACCCCACCACCTACAGGAGCAAAGCCACATCTGGGCCCAGCATTCCAATCCCTGTCTCTCTGGCATGCCTCTGCTCACACACTTCCCCTGCCTCCCCCAGCCCTACCCCTGGAGACCCTGCTCAGGGCTCCTTCAGCAACCCCAGACCCCCCTGGCCTAGGCTTCCTGGGGAGGCGCAGAGAGGGATGGGGACTCACAGCAGCCTTGCATTTCTTCATGATGGAGCTCTTCTCTGAGGCCCAGACAGTGATTTCGTTGCGGTCGTAGTGCCTCACCAGGCCTGCTATCTGAGGAGAGGGGGCAGGGGAGGGGGAGTCAGGCCTCCATCCAGCCCTGGACCCTTGCCCACCCCTGCCCGCGGCACCACCTTGTGAATGAGCTCTTCATTTCGCTCTTTGACTTCCACACTCATGGGCGTTCTCGGGAACCTCCGGAACAAGTCCTCTAGACGTACCATGTGCCGGTCGGCCCCTTGTGCAAAGCGGCCTGGGGGTGGTGGGGAGAAGGATGAGAGAAGGATTGCTGGGGTGGGGGTGAGAGCCCCGGGGGAGGGAAAGGGTCCCAGAGGAGAAGGGGGGGCAGGAGGTTGAGGGCCTGACCCTACTCCAGTAGGCTCAGCCCAGCGCTTGCAGCCCATGCTCTTACCCGGTGAGAAGTAGACCTCTAGCTCTTCCTTTAAGAGGGGCAGGTCCTAGGGAGAGCAGGGAGCATGTCACCAGGAGGGGCATGGAGGGGGGTTGGTTCTCTGGGCGCAGTAGGGGCTGGGGCAAGGCCCACCTCAAAGTTCAGGCTGTCCACATCCCTGTTCACACCTGTCTGGCGGAACAGGTTTTTGTCGTGTGACACCACCACCACGCCATCCCTAGTCAGCTGGCAGTCAAGCTCCAGGAGGTCTGCTCGCTGGGCCATGGCGCTGTGAGAACGAACGTCAGTAAGTGGCTGGGGGACAGGGATGAGCCAGATGGCAGGGTGGTGGGGACGTTGAGGGGAATGTCAGGTAGTTCTGGCCGGATGTGCAGGCGGTGCACTGCACAACTCCCGGGGGCTCCAGTCACCCAGATCAGGAAGTGGAGGGCACCCCTTAGCATCATGCCTCATACAACTGGCACAACCTTACCCGGGGCATGGCCGGGCAGGTGGACTCACTTCTCCATAGCCTCCATAGTGTTCTCCAGGCGTTCTCCAGATCCTGTGGGGCAGTTATCGTGGGTTCCTGGGGCCAGGCCTCCCTCCCCCCACACCCCCTGCCCCCTGCCTCATCACTTCCAGTCAGGATAGGTTGAATGGCTTCTTTTTCCCTATTCCGTCTCCTGCCCTGCCATCATTATCTCCGCCTACCTTGAACTCTGCCCTCCCTTAAACATCCTGCCGTTGGGACCTACCCCTCTCTGCTGTCCACCTGCCTTGCAGTCCTCACCAGCCCAGCTCACCTCCACGGTGGGCCCCCAGGCGGGGACGGAAGGCTGGAACCCATGGTGTGTGTAGCAGGCGAGGTCGGCGCAGGAAGAAGAAGGACAGCATGACATAGCTGCCCAGGGCGGGCAGGGCGTAGTAGAGCAGAGGGCTCATGGCCATGCCGCCTCTCCAGGCTCCGGCAGCCGCGGAGCTCAGCTTTTCCCGGTGGACTGTGCTGCTTCACTGACTGCCTGGCTGATGTAGGCTGGCTCCACCACCAGCCACCACCACACCCCTCGGGACCTGCTGAGCCTGCTGCTGGCCAGAGGCCAGGCTGCAGGGCTGAGCTGGGGATGGAGTAGAGGTAGGAGAAGAGACCAGGCAGCTCTGGGCCTCATACCCCAGGCCCTTCGCACAGCCCAGACTCCCTGTCTCCGTGGCCACACCGGGGAAATCAAGTCCACCCTCCCCGTAGCAGGTCCACTACTACACTCCTCCTTCCCACTGGTGCCTGTTGCCAGAGTATATATACACCCCTTGCCATTTCCAGAGAATCTGGGGGTGTGCAGGGTGTCCCTGAGTCACTCTAGAATCACCTCCAGCCAGTTAGACAGGAAGCCATTAGAGAAGGGACAAGACAATGACTAAGGGGGAAACTGACCCCGACTCAACAGACATGAATTGGAGCAAACTCGCAAGAGAGTGGAAGACAGAGGAGCCTGGCAGGCTGCAGTCCATGACGTCGCAAGGAGCTGGACACGAATTAGTGACCGAACAAGAAGACCCCACTCTGTCCAGGAGTCTAGATCCCACTCCCACCCTCAACCCTGGCTGGCCAGAGGGGGAGCCGAAGGCCACCATGCCAGGTAAAGCATCAGGCTGGAAAGTCAGCGCTCAGGGCAGCAAGGGTGAGGGTCAGGGCGTCGGCGAACACAGACAGAGCCAGGCCATCCATAGACACATCTCTATATTTATATATTAGACACAGGCACAGGGGTGGGCGGGGGCCCTGGGCGCGCCACGTGCCCCCAACTCCACCTCTGCTCACCGGCACACGGAAGCAGCAGGGACATTAGATGTGGCAGCTTTGTAGGGGAGGGGTTGAGACCTGGGCCCCGCTCCTCAGGGGTACTAGCCCTTGAGCCTTAGGAATGTTCCTTCAGGGAAAACAGGGTGGGGTTTTAACGAGGCGAGAGGGGCAGGGCTGACCCTGAGTCCCAACTCGTGTCCTCCTCGCCCCTCCCCCACCACCCCTCAGCCGGTCCGGGGCAACCAGAGCCCTTGGATTCCAGAACTACCAGACACTGGGAGAGCCGGGCAGACAGAGGCCGAGCAGCAGAGGGGAATTTGCTTTGGGGCCACCTCAGCCCCTCAGGTCCTGGGTGGGGGGTGTGGCGGGAGGAGGAAAGGAAGGGCGCATTGGCCTGCCTGAGGCAGGACGCCTGAGCGAAGCGAAGGGAGGTGGCCAGGCCCGCCCTTCACCCCCGACCTGGGCTGTCGGAGGGGTCTGGGCTGGGCACACGGTCCATTTTCTAACAGTCCAGCAGGGGAGGGGCAGGCAGGAGGCAGGGCCTAGACAAAAAGGCAGGCAGGAAAGGAACCATTAGCACCCGCGGCTGACCTGCCAGAGCCCTGACCCTCACTTCCCTTCTATCACCTTGTGGCTAAGTGGCATACAGCTGGCTTTCCTTATCTGTCAGTGCGGGTGATATTAATACCCATTTCAAGGTACTGCTATCAGGACTAAGTGAATTGATCTAGGCAAACGTCTTGCAGGAGTTTGCTCTCATTATCAGGCTGTCTCCAGGAGGCTGAGGCGCAGCAAGGTGAGGTGTCTTACACAATATCACACAGCCCTTATTAAGTAGCAGAGCTGGGCTTTGAACCCGGGTGTGTCTGCCTTGCTGTTATCAGGTTACAGCTGGCCAAAGACAGACAGGAAACGAAAGGAGGGCCGGACAGCAGTGTGGGTGTAGCCCCAACCAGGTTCCCGCAGGTATGTGAACTGCTGACCTGGACATCAGGTGCAAAAAAGCCTGGCATGTGGGTCAGGCTGGGTGCTGCTGGCTCCTCCCAAAGCAATCACTGCTCCCCCTGCCTCTCTGCCTGCCCTGGGGGAGCCAAATCCTGGCTCCGTTTCCTCAGGTGGATGAGGGGGCCCTTCGTGACCTTGGGCTGAAGTCTGCAAGGTGCTGACATGGGGGAGACATGTGAGGCTGGGGACCGCAGGTCTCTGGCCGAGGCAGGCTCTAGACCTTCTGTTGCCACCGAACACGTGGCTCGTGGATGTGAGCAGGCTTGTAACAGCATGGAGGAGTGTTGGGCACTCTGGTCTCAGGGTGCATCTGTGCAGGGGTGGGGGAGACACTCACCAGGCCCCAGGAGCAGAGGCAGCCAGCCAGGTTAGGAGGCTTCCAGCACCCCAGGCTGGAAGCGGGCTGTCTCCTGGAAGATGAGCTCCTTCAGTCGTTCCTTGGGTAGATCATCCAGCTCCATGTCGAAGGTGAAAGGTTCCTCGGCCACTGGCTGGGGTGGCAAAGAAGTGGGGTGGCTCAGGGCAGGGACCGAGGGAAGACCCCCATCCACCTGTCAGCCCTGCCACTAGCAGCTGGCCCACCTCATCCGTTGGGTCATAGTACTGCTCCAGGTAGGGGTGAGCCAGCGCTTCTTCCACTGTGATCCGTTTGTTGGGGTTAAAGGTCAACATCCGGTCCAGCAGGTCAAGAGCTAGGAAGTGCAGGGGTCAGAGGTCAAAGGGAAGGTCAGAGAAGCTCTCAGAAGCACTACTTGGCTTCTCTGTGTTCAGAGGCCTGTTGGTCCAGAAGCCTTTGTGTCCCAGACAGCGGCTGGGCTCTTGTACCTTCCTCTACACCCAGTTTTTATTCACAAGTCCCCAAGTCTCTCTCACCTTTGGGGTCCGACTTAGGAAAAAGCTTGGCCCAGGCCACCTTGGTCTTGGAGGGCAGAGACTGTAGGTAGTTTCGGGCCTTCATGTTGATGATACAATTCAGGTCCTCCTGGGATGGGGAGCCCAGAATACCTGTGGGTAAGGCAGGTGACTTGGTGAGCAATCTCTCCCTTCTGAGAACAGAAGGGGCCAAGAATAAGAGCCCTCCACCAACCTGCTCCAGGCCAACCATAATCTCCCAGCCAATACTATGGGGGTAAAGAGCAGGGGGTCTGGATGGGGCAGCCCCAGGTTCAAATCCTAGCCCGAGCACTTCCTAAGTGTGGGGTGTATGGAGCCTTGCATTTCCCATCTATCAAATGGGGACAGTATCTGTAACTCAGTGAAACACTGTGAATGCTGCAGGGCCTCCTGGACCACACATGGTGGTCCCCCTGACCTGACTCCCGCACACTCACTGACCCTGAAATGAAGTCGCTCAGTTGTGTCCAACTCTTTGCGATCCCATGGACTATATATAGCCTGCCAGGCTCCTCCATCCATGGGATTTTCCAGGCAAGAATACTGGAGTGGGTTGCCATTTCCTTCTCCAGAGAATCTTCCTGGTCCAGGGATGAATCCCTGGGCTCCTGCACTGCAGGCAGACTCTTTACCTTCTGAGCCACCTGGGAACTCTGACCCTAAAGAAATCTCACCTCCAGTAAGCGAGTTTCCCTCCCACTTAGCTGGCCAATCCCCCCTACCCAGAATGTGGTTGAGCTGGTCCAGGTAGTGCTTGCCAGGGAAGATGGGCCGGTTGGAGAGCATCTCAGCCAGAATGCAGCCCACAGACCAGATGTCGATGGACTTGGTGTAGCCCTAGGGAGGAGGAGAAAGCGGTGGGCTCCTGGGCCAAGCCAGAACCCCTGACCCTAGGGTCAACACCAGCCAGGGAGGCAGAGGGCAGAAACCTGGGGAGTGAATCCTCAGTTTCTTTCCATAGCCCAAGGACCAGGATAATGTGACAAGGCCCACCGGGGAGACTTCCTGCATCATGAGGGTCAGTGCTGGACTCAGAGGTGGCTCCAGGGCTTTCTGGGATTCGGTCTCTTCCCTTCAGGGGTGGGTGGGCCCCCTACCTTGGAGTTAAGCATGATCTCTGGGGCCCGGTACCAGCGTGTGGCCACGTATTCCGTCAGGAAGCCAGTGTGGTCGTGCTCGGGATCAGCAATCCGGGCAAGACCGAAATCACAGATCTAGAATGCAAACCAGGCTGCTGAACTCAGTGCTCAAGGCCGCCTGGGCCCAACTAATCATATCACCATGTCTCTCCTACCCATGGCGGGAAGGGGACCACTGGTCATCCTGAAGCCTGAGACCCCAGGGGCAGAAGGAGACAGGCACACAACCCTCAGACCTTAAGGTCGCAGGTGGTGTTGATGAGCAGGTTGGAGGGCTTTAAATCCCGGTGGAGCACGTTGGCGGAGTGGATATACTTCAGGCCCCGCAGGATCTGGTACAGGAAGTAGCAGACATGGTCGTTGCTCAGCTGCTGGCTCTTGAGCAATTTGTACAGGTCTGTCTCCATCAGGTCCTGCACGATGTAGCTGAGGTGGGTGCCAAAGGCCCCCCAGGTGGGGGCAGTGGGAGGCAATTGGTTAAGAAGAACAGACTCTGCTGACCAGGTTTCACATCCCTCCAGCTGATGCCCCTGGGACTCAACAGATCTGCCAACTCATATCATGAACTGGGCAAGGCCCACACTTAGCAGGGGAGCTCAAGGCCTCTGCTGAATCTCAGCTGGTGACCCTGAGCAAAGAATCTCAGTCCTGTGGCCTCCATCTCCCTATTGAGAAAACGGGGATAATAAACTACGGGAAGCAGGAGACCATCCCAGCTAAGAGCAGTAACTCTAGAGTTCACCTGCCAGTGTCAATCACCCCTGCACTGCTCATTCATTCGCTTTAGGAACTCAAGTCCTGTCTGCGCCTCTCTTCCTCATCTGTAAAGTTAACGGGAAAAAAACCCTGTTCTTTAGAGAGTGGTGGTAAAGATTAGTTGAGAGATGACCCAGGCAGTGCAGCCAGCTTGGTGCCTGGCACGTTGTAAATGCTCGGCAAACGTGAACTAGTATTGCTGTTATAAAAGCCTGAACCACATGGCTGTTGAGAAGGTTAAATGAGATTATGTATGAACACCATCTGGCAGGCAATAAATGTTTGCTTAAAAATAAATGCCTGCCTTATGGGGATGCTTTGTGCAAGACGAATGAGGAGAAACTTCCCAGCAGCACGCTCCTACTCTGGGGGCTTGGCCCTACACCCGAAGACAGAGGAGTAAATGTCCTTTTATACTCTAAGATAAAAAAAGAATTAAACATAAATAAACAAATAAACGTCATGTGGCTTGTTTCTGGAAGACTCGGTTATGGCTGACTTTCAGAGTCAGCCTCAAAAGGGCCTTCTGAGAACACCTGGACCAACCCTGCTATTTTAAAGATGAAGAGGCCCGGCATGCTGCAGTGACTTGGTTAAGGTCACACGACAAGCTAGGGGTGAGTGTGGAAGTTTCCTGCCCACAGTTTGTGGTGGGGGCTGCAGATAGTGCAGTACAGATCACCACTCTTGGGTGGAGGACTGGGACTGGCGGGGGTGGGTGGGGCAGAGGTGATGGGTGTTATAAGCTCCTAACAGAGCCAGGCAGGAAGTGGACCACAAACTAGGAAAGCCATGGGGCTTGGGGGAGGGCCACAAAGGCAGGTCTGTTCCTCCCTGGGCAAGGTACAAGTCCACAGGTGACTGGGGTGGGACTCTGAGCCGGAAGTCCCGGAGAGGTGACAGGTTCTTGTCTGGGGGAGGGGAGGAGGCAGCCACAGAAGCACTTGATTTTATTTCAGCTTTCTGGGCCTCAGTTTCCTCATCTGTGAAATGGAGCTGCTGAGACCCATCTCCTAGAGCAGCTGGGAGTTAGAATAGAAAACGTCAAAGCACTCGGCTTGAGCTGCACCAGACTCACAGTAGGCCCTCAAAACAGGGCAGTGTTCTTCCCGCCTGCCTTCCTGCCAGTCTGAGGACCAAGAGAAACAAGAATTGCCATCTGTTAAACAAAAGAGCTGACTGTGGGCAGAGGCTGGATCTCCTCACAGAACTGCCGATGCCAGAGGACAAAGCGTCCACAGAGCCCATCTTGCCCAGCCCCCTACAAAGCCAGCATCTAGAGAACAGACTTGCCCAAGGCCACACTGCCTGGCCGCAGCAGGCCAGGATTCATCTAAGGCCTCCCTGCCCTCTTACACTGTGGCCTCTTGACCACTGGAAAGTTTCCTTTACTGGGTTTGTTTTGGAGGGAGGTTGGGAAGAAGGGAAGAAAAAACAAGCCCCATTCTCCCAGCCCGGCTCTGAGGCTGGGCCTGGCCAGCCGTCTGGCCCAGGTGAAGGATACACATCCCTCATGGCTTCCAGGGTGGGTGCCCGCAGAATGTCTCGGATGCCGATGACGTTCTCATGGCGGAAGCGCAGCAGAATCTGAATCTCTCGCAATGTGCGCTGGCAGTAGGTCTGATGCTCAAAGGGGCTGATTTTCTTGATGGCCACTCGAGTCTTGCGCACGTGGTCGTAAGCTGAGCTGAGAGGGCCAGAGAGATGTTGGTGTCCAGGCCCGATGGCCCCACCCAGGCCTTGGCAGGGCGGGGAGGGAGCAGGAGAGGGCTCTGGCCAGTCATAAACAATGCTGGTTCCTTCCTGCTGTGAAGGCCTGGGATCTCCAGGGAGAAAGCTGGGGACCAGCCAGGCAGCCCTTCGGTGACTTCACAAACAGAGGAAGAGACTGACCGCTCACTGACTTCCCCTCTCCTCAACCCTTTCCAGTCGAGCTGCCCTGACCCCTCATCCTCCCCTTCCCACGACGGGCTCCCTCAAGCCAAGACAGGTCCAGGGGGTGGGAGATGTGGAGGACTGGACAATGAGGCAAATACAGTGAGAGGGAGGGAGTCGGAGGAGGGACTGGAGAGAAGGGAGAGGCATGGCCGGGGCGGGTGTCAGGGGGAGGTTCCTGGGCAGCAGAGCTATGTCCAGACGAACAAAGGCCCAGAGCACCCAGTGCGGATAGGAGAACTCGCAGACCCCTCCTAAAAGTTGCAGGAAGCTGTTCCAGGACTCCTCACGGCTCACTGGGTCCCTGGCCCCAGGCCCAAAGCCCCACCCCACCCCGCCCAGCCCTGAGCTTTGCTCCTTTTTCCCAAACTCCCTGGCAAGCTTCACTGGGGGGTGATCCAGGGCATCCTCTCCCCAGTGAGGGGACCCTCTCTCCTTCTTCACTAAGGATATCACCTCCCCAAGAAGACTGATTCTCTTCTCCTCACCCCGTGTCTATGGGGTCCCCAAGGTCCCCAGAGCTCCCCCACATACACTCAGATACCCTACCCTTCATTATTGAATAGTCGGTTCAAAGCTCCCACACCTCCTTTCCTGAGACCTTACGCAGTGACCCCCTCCCCCAGAAAGCACTCAAAGGCCCTCTGCCCGGGACGCTCCACAGCCTCCAGAAGCCCCAGCTTCTTCAGGATGCTCAGAGTCCGCAAGGCCCAGAGAGCTCTCAGCACCCCTCCCTACCCCCTCCCCAGAGACGCCCCCTCCCCAAGAACGCCCCTCACCTGACCATGCCGTACGCGCCCTCGCCGATGTACTGCAGCTGCGTGTAGCGCGGGCCCACGTCGAACGGCTGCCCCTTTACTATCTCCACTTCCCCCGGGACCCCCGACGCGCGCCGGTTTCGCGCCGCTGGGGCTGTGGTCCCTGGCACCTGTCGGCCTCGTCTGCTCTAGCCAACGTAGAAGCTCCCCAGGGCTGTCTCGAGACTGTCCAGACCCTCCCACCCTTCCCCCACCGAATGCTGACCGGTAGGGCGGCCCGGTGACCTCACCCAGAGCCACCTAGCAAATGGGTGCTGAAGCCGGGACCCAGACCGGGCCACGTGGCCCCGCTGCCCCAACTCAGCCCGAGGAGTGGCCCGGGGCTCGAGGTGGAACCTCCTGGAGCCAGGCCCGATGCTGAGTGATACGATGCTTATTTCATAGTAGCCGTGGGAGGTGGCTTCCTCACACGTGTGGCCTCTTTAACAGATGTGGAAACTGAAGATGACTGGGCAAGGTGACTTGATTGCTGGAAAGCCCAGGCGTCTTGACTCCCTGCCTAATGGTTTTCGGATGGAGACCTGTCAAAGTGGGCTAGGGACCGGACCTCAGCAAGCTGGCAGTGCCTGTATCCTGAGGACAGATAATCCCAGCCTACCTTTACATGGAGGCATAGGGAAGAGGTGAGAGCTGCGTGGACTGGGTTTAGTGAAAATACACTCTCAGGCTTTACTCAGAAACAGCAGGATAGCTAACATTTTTGTTCTCCTTGGGTTTGACAAAAATTGGAACCCTGTCAAGATCATCTTTTGCTTCTGCGCTAGACTTTATACACCATTTGGTCCACTTCAGTTTCTTCATTAGAACAACCCCATAGTATAGGTGTCATCTGCTTTTCTGAGCTGGATGAGCTGGGGGCCACGTCTGTCTTGTTCAGTGCTGTAGCCCCCACCCACCCCCATCCCTGCAGTCAAACGCAGACACTCAAAAATGTTGGAATAGGTGAATCAAGTTTTACAGAATGGAAAATCTGAGAGTTTGGGAGCTGAGACCCAACATGTATCTTCTGACACACAGGCAGAGGTTCTTTTTAATTGCATTCTGTCTCCCAGACTGTTAAAACTGAGGAGAGGGCCCTCAGAGACCATCCAGTCCATCTCCTTCACTTCACAGTGAAGATGTGAGCTGGGACCTTCACAAAACACATCTCCTAGGCTTCAGTAAGAAATGACGTTGTTTTTGTCTTCCTTGGAAGCTGGGAGTAGGTCCTTGTATGCATTAAAGGTCAAGAGACAAAGTGGAACAATAATTATGATTCTGAAATTGCTCATAATTAGATCTGCAGTCAGGCATTCTAATTCAGATTAATGACTCTGAGAGTTGCTGGTTCCCAGTAACCCACAAGTCAGTGAAGGTTTAAGACGTGCTAATTAGATCAATGGTTTTTTTGTCGGTGGTGTTATTCATTTGATAAGCTATTGACTGGTACTGTGTGCAAAGCTCTGAGCTAGGAACTAGGGCTGATAAAAGATTACTGGATAGTGTGAATTAGTGGTTAAGAGCAAGAGCTCTCTGGAGTCAGGTTGCCTGGATTAAATCCCATTTAGGCCACTTGTTGTGTTATCCTGGGCACTTTACCCCACTGGCGTTTCTACTTCCGGAGTTTCTCTTCCACTGAAGATGCACAAACAGAAATCAATGTAACCCAGAATGGATGGATGTAATATGTAGGGTAAGCTCAGGGGTGGGCAAGATCCCTCTAGGGATCTCCCCCAACTGTTAGGAATCAGGTTGCACAGCAGGAGTAAATGGCAGGCTAGCGAGGAGCAAAGCTTCATTTGTATTTACAGCCGCTCCCCATCGTTCACGTTATTGCCTGAGCTCCACCTCCTGTCACACCAGCGGTAACATTAGATTCTCATGGGAGTGTGAACCCTACTGTGACCTACGCATGTGAGGGATCTGGGTTGCACATTCCTTATGAGAATTATCATGAAACCATTCCCTACCCTTGGTCCATGGAAGAACTGTCTTCTATGGAACTGGTCCCTGGTCCCAAAGAGGTTGAGGACTGCTACCCTAGAGAAGTGAGGAGGGGATAATGGAGGAGGTAGCATTGCATCACTGAAAAAGAAGCAGAGTTTCAGAAGGTCAGGATAGAGCAAAGGCTTCAAGAAGACGGAGCAGGGTGAACCATGGCACGGAGGCAGGAGCACGAGTTGTCCAGTGTCTGCAGTGTGAAGGGTTAAGGGGAGTTTAGGCTGGAGAGGTAGGTTGGGGCCACATTGAGGAAGGCCTCTGATTCTGGCAGGGAGTTTGGATGTTACTCAGAAAGCAGTAAAAAGCCTTTCAGGGACTTTTGCCAGCTAATTTTGCAACTACTGGAGAATATAGTGACTCAGAGAAAACACCATGGAGTTCAGCGTGGAGCCAGGTTTCCTGAGTAGGAGTGAGTTTCCCGGCATGGGAAAGGCTGGTGTATCCGGAGGGGTGCCTGCTACCTCAGCGGTATCTGAGTCTCATTTCGAGATGTGTGACTGAGATTGCCCTCTAGTGGCTGAGGTTGGTACTTCCTTGGAGATGGGGTTGGGATTTCTCGGTCTGTTCCATAGATTCGTACTCAATTAATGGAGACTGAACAACTATTCTGTGCTAGACACTTTTTTTTTTTATAGTTGGAGACGTCAGTATTGTACTTTTTTTCATTTTTTGGTTGTGCTCTGCAGCTTGCGGGATGGTAGTTCACTGCCTAGGGACCAAACCTGGGCTCCTGCAGTGAAAGCAGTGAGTCCTAACCATTGGACCATCAGGAAATTCCCTGTGCCAGGCACTTGTTTTTTTAATTCTTTTTGGCTGCTCTGGATCTTTGCTGCTACACGAGGGCTTTTCTCTAGTTGTGGTACATGGGCTTCTCATCGCGGTGGCTTGTCCTGTTGCAGAGCACAGGCTCTAGAGCATACAAACCCAGTACTTGGGGCACACAAGCTTAGTTGCTCCACAGCATGTAGGATCTTCCCGGACCAGGGATCGAACTCCTGTCCCCTGCATTGCAAGGGGATTCTTAACCACTGGACCACCAGGGAAGCCTGTGCCAGGCACTGTTATGTACTTTATCTCTGATCGTCCTTCTAGAAGTAGATACTATAAACGTTTAACAGGAAAAAAAAAAAAGCAGCTCACTGAACTGTGGAGTTGGAAGGAACTTTAGAATCATTTCCTCTAGCTCACTGCATTGTTAAAGTTTTTCTAATGCCTGCTCTAGCTCTGGATCTACCCAGACTAAGTCTTATTTTATTTTTTGGTAACGCAGCACGTGGGATCTTAGTTCCCCAACCAGGGATCACACCTGTGCAGCCTGCATTGGAAGCACGGAGTGTTAACCACTGGACCACCAGGAAAGCCCCTAGACTAAATCTTAAACCAGCTTTCATCTCTTTGTGATGTGAGGGTCACAGGAGAGGCCAGTTGGTAATTTTCCCAGAGTAACACAAGAGAGTAACATTTGAAGAACACAAATGAACAGTCCCATTTCAACTAACTCAGCTCTGCAGCACAAACTGAGAAGGGAGAAAATGTTCAGAAATAGACGTCAGAACACAGTGAATAATTTATTAAGATTTAAGTGCTGAACTGATCTCTTTTTTAAATCCAAGAAACATCATACTGATTTTCTTGTGGCACTTCTTCATGTATTAGAAATTGCGTGTGTGCATGAAGTCACTTCAGTTGTGTCCGACTCTTTGAGACCCTGTGGATGGTAATCTAGCCAAAAAAAAAAAGAAAAAAGAAGACTCCTTTCCATTTCCAGGATTAGTTCAAATACCACCCTTTTATGAAGTGTTTCCTGGTATGCTTCTGCTATGCATCTGCAGCTCTTATGTCTTAGAGCAAATGTGTATGATACTTATTTATGGGCTCATCTTGCTTTTCCTACTAGATGATAAAATATCTTGAAAGCTGCAAATGTTAGTGTCTTTACTTATCAACCCTCTCCAGTACCAAGAGGTGTTTTGCATTCAATAAATAATTGTTAAAAGAGAGAATTGAGTATTTCTGGAATGGCCTCCACACCCTTCGTCAGCTGGGATGCACTTTTCTGCATGAGCTCAGGGTTGACTGTGTTCCTGTTAAAAACGCAGCACCCAAAATAGAATACCATTTTCTATATGTAGCCTGACCAGTGGGAGGACAAAGGAGTATTGCTTCCTTTGTATTGGTCCAATATTTTATTCTCTTCCACACAGAGCCTCTCCCTGAACCTCTAATCTAAAATATACACTGTTCATATGCCTCCCTCATGGTGTCCTTCTTCTTTCATGAGACTTATCACAGTTTGTCAGCGATTCATTTGTGAAGTGATAGAACACTGTAATTAGAAGTGTGGGGGCTGCAAGTTCCCTTCTCTTTCTGCTCCTGTGAATTCACTTTCCAGAACTGTGGAGAGATGAGGTATACTCCTATTAACTGCAGAAGCTTCGGTTATATTATTCCAACGCATGTTGAGTACCTTAGGGCCAGGCTGCTTCTTGTTCAGTCGCTAAGTTGTGTCCAACTCTTTGCATGCCAGGCTTCTCCGTCCTCCACTGTCTCCCAGAGTTTGCTCAGATGCATTTCCACTGAGGTGGTGATGCTGTCTAACCGTCTCATCCTTTGTCGCCCCCTTCTCCTCTTGTCCTCAATCTTGCCCAGCATTAAGGTCTTTTCCAGTGAGTCAGTTCTTTGCATCAGGTAGCCAAAGTATTGAAGTTTCAGCTTCAGCATCAGTCCTTCCAATGAATATTCAGGACTGATCTCCTTTAGGATGGACTTGTTGGATCTCCTTGCTGTCCAAGGGACTCTCAAGAGTCTTCTCCAACACCACAGTTCAAAAGCATCAAATCTTCGGTACTTAGCTTTCTCTGTAGTCCAACTCTCACATCCATACATGACTACTGGAAAAATCATAGCTTTGAATAGATGGACCTTTGTAGCAAAGTGATGTCTCTGCTTTTTAATACACTGTCTAGATAGGCAATGGCTAAATTGAAGGGGGAAACTGAGTGCCTCCCAAGTGCTCGATTTTGGAGGCCGGGTGATCTTTTCTGATTTTGACACAAGCCTTGTGAAACCAATGTCACCAATATCATCTTTTCACACCTGGGAAGGTGGGGCGGAAAGCGTGGGTGAAACCCTTGAGACCACACATGTGATAAGTGTTAGGCCTAGGACACCCCTGTCTATCTGATTCTTCACTGGAAGCTGAAAACAGGTGGTGCAAGGTCATATTCAGCCTACAGATGTATATTACTAGACCTGTGTCATTTTGCTTTCCTTTAATTAAAAAATAAAAGCAGAACAAAAATTCAGGTTCTGGAATCAAACTACTAGAGAGTGAATCCTGTTGTCACTTATCAGTTACTTCTTCCTCAGTTTTCTCATCTGCAAAAGAGGGTATAGTACTTACTATGTAGGCATGTTGAGATTTAAATGTTTTTATATGTGAACTTGGGTGGGTGGCATAACTTTTCTAAACTTTAGTTTCATCGAATGCAAATTTGGGACCTTAAATGGATTCTGTTTACATCACAAAGTGAGATATAGTAAAGTCTGGGAGATTTTTTAATCTGCAGGCTTTAAACTGAAAAAAATATATAGATGTTGCATCCGTGCTAAGTTGCTTCAATTGTGCCTGAATCTTTGTGACCCTAGGGACTATAGCCTACCAGGCTCCTCTGTCCATGGGCTTCTCCAGGCAATAATACTGGAGTGGGTTGCTGTTTGCTCCTCTAATACAGATGTTAGATGTTTCTTATTATAAGAGGTAACTCCCTAATCTGATATCAAATTTTTGTTATTTAAAATTAATATTACAATTAATATATAAATACATTATAATTATAATTATAAAATTAATTATAATTACATTCAATAAACTCCATCTGTTTTACGTATACAGAGACTTCCCTGGTGGTCTAGTGGCTAAGATTCCGAGTTCCCAATACAGGGGGCCCGGATTCAATCCCTGTTCAGGGAACTAGATCCCACAGGCTATAACTAAGACCTGGCGCAACCAAATAAATAAATACATAAACTAAATATTTTAAAAACTTAAAATATATGGCCTTGATGGAGTCTAGTAATTGAATACAATTACATAACAGTCACCTCAATCAGGATATATAACAATTTCTTCAACCTAAAATGCCCCCTTCTAGTGATTCTCTCCTCCAGGCAGTGTTCTGTCTACTTTCTGTCACTATAGTTTGGCTTTTTCTAGGATTTCATATAAACGGAATCACAAAGTAGTGTTTATGTTTGACTTCTTATGCCTAGTATATTTTTAGATTAAATTACATTCTTATGCATGTTAACACTCAATTTTTTAATTGAGATATAACATATACCATAAAATTCATCATTTTTAAAGTGTACGATGCAGTGATTTTCAGTATATTTACAAGGTTGTGTCACTGCCCGTCCCCCCATCCCTACAGCCCCTGGCAACAATTGATCTCATCTGTTTCTATGGATTTGCCTCTTCTGAACATTTCATACTCACAGAACCATATAATATGTGGCCTTTATGCAGCTGGCTTCTTTTCCTTAGCATGTTCTCAAGAGTCACCCAGGCTTTAGCCTGTGTCAGACTTTATTCTTATTTTATGACTTAATGATATTGCATAGGGATACCACATTTATATAACTATAACTGATAGTTATATAACTGGTTATATATTCATCAGTTGGTGGATGTTTGAGTTGTTCCCTCTTTAATTTTAAAAATATGTATTTACTTATTTTTGGCTGTGCTGGGTCATTGTTGCTTTGCGTGGGCTTTCTCTAGTTGTGGTGAGCGGGGGCTACTCTTCAGCACATGGGCTTCTCATTGCAGTGGCTTCCCTTGTTTTGGAGCGCAGGCTCAGTAGTTGTGACACGTGGGCTTAGTAGCTTCATGGCATGTGGAATCCTCCTGGACCAGGAATTGAACCTGTGTCCCCGCCATGGCAGATGGACTCCTATCCACTGCTCCATCAGGGAAGT